CTTAGTGTGTCCTAGCTTCTTGTTTTGTTTTGATATGTCCAAATAGGCTGCTGCTTGTATGAGCTAGTTTGATTGTTGGCACCTTTGAAGCTCTAATGTCCTGTCACCAGGTGGTTAGATCTGTTACTAGGTATGTGAGTTCAGGAGTCTGCCCTCTCCTCCTGTATGGGTTCATCTCAGGTGCCCAAGTAGATAGCCACCAAGTGTGTGGTGTAGGCTCTCACCTACAGTCCTAGACAGGCATGGGTGATTGGTGTAGGCATAGGCATCTGGCTTCAGCAGGGTGACACAGTCGGAGCAAGTCAGGGGGCTGACGGCCACCCCCAGGTGTCCACTATGGGGGCATGTCCCTGTTTCCTAGAGCGTGTAGGTGGGTGGGTTTTGCAGCCGGACTATGAGCACTCAGTGCTGTTGGCTGTAAGGACTGGGGGGAACCTCTTATTCTTGGGCCCCTATCACAGGTGGCTAGGTGGCATGGGTGGAGCCACGAGTCCTCAGTCCCCTGATATATGGATAGGTGAAGACCCTGCTTAATGTGCAGAGGAGTATCAAATGTCACGAACCTGCCACTTCACAGCTGAAACAGTTGAAGTTAGTGTTCCAGTATATACCCTGTTGTACTGCGGTAATGAGGACCTATGCTGTTGCGATGGGCCCACACAAATCTATGCAGGAGGAAAGGCACTCGAAGTCTGTGGATCCCTTATGCCTGGGCCTACCCTGGGTTCCTGGCTTAAGGGAGCTGGCAGTTTATTTTTTCCCTCTGTTTGTTAATTTGTTAACTCTCTGAGGCAGGGCAAATGGCTCTGGGTGTGTGTCGGATCCTACTTCCAGCCCAGGGGATTCGGCGATTCCTGAAGCTGGTCTGGGACCTGGTGCAGAGCAGGGAGCGGGGAGGTAAATGTGAGAGAGGTTTTTCCCTAAGAGGAGTTTCTGATCCACGCAGTAGGCCGTAAGCATTTACTTACCTTTCGCCGATCCAGGGTTGCTTCTTACTGGTTCTGGGTGGCTGTGTAGACTCTCTGCCACTGGGTCTCTCCCGGTGTGGAAAATGCACCTCCTGAGCACCGCCACTTGCCTCCCTCACCAGTCACCCCCAAGCTGATCAGGCCTGAAGGGCTGAGGCTCTCACCGGGTCAGGTCTGGCAAGTCCTTGTTGCTTCCAAACTGTCTCTCCCTCCCCCTGCCACTCAGTTTGGTTCCTCAACTCTGCCTTTGATGTTCAGGGCTCCCCGATTGCCATATATAATCAATTCACTCTTTTTTTCGGTTCTTTATTGTAAGAGGGTCCACCGGAAGTGTCTGACTACTCCGCCATCTTGGCCCCGCCTGCAAGCTCATGGAATTTTACCTAAATGAATTTCATTCTCCACCACTGCCTTTCCATGCAGGAGACCTGGGGTCAATTCCTGGCCAGTGCATCTCATGCACAGCTACCACACGTCTGTCAGTGGAGGCTTGTGTGTTGCTATGATGCTGAACATGTTTCGGTGGAGCTTCCAGGCTAAGACAGACTAGGAAGAAAGGCCTGGCCATCTACTTCCAAAAGTCAGTGAATTAAAGCCCCATGGATCACAATGGTCTGATTTGTAACCAATCATGGGGATGAGGCAGGACTGGTCAGCATTTCCTTCCCTTATGCATGGTGTCACCATGAGTCAGGAGCTGACCCAAGGGTACCTAACAACAACGACAGTATTTCACTGACTAATTTATAACAGATTAGAGAAGTAGTGTGGGAAGTACTGCTGCTCTGTTCACTACCCACGTGCATTGGGAGCATTATTCATATCTCTGTGCTTCAATTTCCTTGCTATTAATCGCTTCATGTCATCTTCAGACACTCTTTTAACTCAAATCTTCTCTGAACTTCAGTTCTTTTTTCAACTTCTGAAGTAGCATAAACTATTATTTCTTTTTTAGAACTTCTCTATATCTTTCTACCTTACTTATTGATGCTATGGATTCTTCATCAGAATTTAGCGGGCAAATTGTACTTGTCTTAAAAAAAAGAGGGTGTCATGAAACTTCACAGATTGGCACTTTAGCATCGTAGAGTAGAATTGTAGATTGTGTGCCATTGCGCAGCTACGCTATGCCTGCCTAATACACATTTTCAGTTGATTGGGTATTTGCTAAAATTTAAATTATCTACCTGCAATTTAATTCCTGTAGATCTCTAGTTTTTAATCTTGGAAATGATTAGTATGCATTTAAATGAAACCATGAATTGGTATGTAATATAATTTACATTTTCAGAAGTTAAATAGTAGACTTATACTATATAGTTCTTGGATGTTTGTTGGCAAAGTGAATGTAACAGTTTTTAGTACTTTCTCCCATAATCCATTCTGATCGCAAAAGCTACACAGAATTTCATTGGGCCAGTGTCCACAGAAAATTTCTGAAGAGTAGTTGGGAAAAGGGACACAAAATGATTAAGTGGTCTAAATCTTGAGACGTGAAACCTACTTAACGACAGGGCTAGATTTAAGTCATATAATGAGGAAGAGGCGGAGAAAATTTTACCTCTCGTAAGTATTATTCTATTTCTACCTTATTGGCTATGTTTTCCCAAGAAATTTCTCTACAGCAACTTATTAACTACTTAACCTATCTTTCATCCTGATCACTTTAATTTTGGATATTTGACTTTCTAACGACTTTAGCAACTTTCCATGGTCCAGACAGGTCATTTAAAAAGTTTTGTGTTTCTTTTCTTCTTCAATGCATTTGACATTGTTTTGGAAATCCTTTTGCTTCTATGATATATTATGCTTGCTCTGAATCTACCTCTAGGTTAATTTTTCTCTTATTTAGGAGCTGTGGTCACTTGTGCCACCTCTACTTCAGCTCCTGTGCCTGGGTATGGACTACCTGTAGGTCATCACATTGAGGTTTACAGAGGCATCAGGTAACCTCACTCAGATCTTTGGATTGTTTATTACTGGCCCCCTACAAGAGGAACCTACTTGCTGCTACAAAAAAGATCAAATATTTATAACTGGGAACAATAGCATACCAAACACAATTTCAAGCAAAAGTCAAAAAACAGAGGAAGATAAAATAGGCCTTAATTTGTTTTAAAAATTAGGACCAGAAAAGGGATGTGCCACCACTCACTAGCATAGTTCACCCAGGAACCCATCCTGGACTGGAGAGAAAGTTATAACTCTCACAGGGAGCCAGAAAAGGTTCAGAATGAACCATATAACAGGCCAAGGTCTCCAGACATAAGAGGCAGTAAACCATTGTAATAAGTAAAGCAACTATTATTGTGCTTCCAAAGACTCAGTACGTAGTACGCCTCTGTTTTGATGTTGTCCTGTCTCCATGTTCTAGGTAGCCCTCCTCTTCAGTTTCTCACCTCTTCTCTTGTTTTCTAGTTCCCAGGCCACAGTCCTAGTTCACATCCTCAAAACAGAAAGTATCAATACCCAAAGGCTAATATTGTTGTGTAATGCTGAGCATCTACTACTTGCCAGGCACTGTTCTTGGTGCTTTCACATCATCTCATCTTAATCGGTAGGGCAGGGTCATTACACTTTCTTACAGATGAGGTCATTAAGTAATCATTTGCTCAAAGTTATCCAGCTAAAAATTAGGCAACGTGAATTTGAACACAAGCTTTTCTACTAAAATTTGTGATTTTTCTTTTTTCCAGTTCACTCTGTTATGATGCCCTCTTATGTCCTTCCTTTAAATTCTGCTGTATCAGGGTTATTCCCTCTTAAACTAAAACCAAACCCATGGCCATTGAGTCGATTGCAGCTCACAGCAGCCTTGTAGAACAGAGTAGAACTGCCCCATAGGGTTTCCAAGGCCATAAGTCTTTATGGAACCAGACTGCCACATCTCTCTCCCACTGAGCAGCTGGTGGGTTTGAACCACCGACCTTTCAGTTAGCAGCTGAGCACTTAACTACTGTGCCACCAGGGCTCCTTTATTGCCTCTTAGATTTACTCAGATACTATTTTCTTCATCACCTCCCTTTTCAAAAATAGTTACTCTGTTGTTTTTCCTCAGTTGTAAATTTAGCATTCAAAGCTCTTTCCAGATTTGCCCCACCTTTTCTTGACACATTCTTCTGCTTCCACCTGACAGTTGTACTTCATGGAATTCTCTTTTCCTTCTGATTATAATTAGTATGCTACCTTGCACATTTGAAATACTCATTGCCCTCTGTGCCTTCGTGTCTTTCCTTCTGATTTGGTTACCTTTCCCAGTGGTGTTACTTATTCTCCTCTCCTTAAAATTCTTGTTCATACCTTCTATTACTGAACCCAGTCAACTCTTCATTCCCACATGACGTTTCCTCCTATAGGCATTGTGTGTTGCATTGCTGTGTGTTTGCTGTTTGTCTTCTTATATATTCTTGTAGCATAAACAGTTATTTAAGTTTCTTTCAGGAAGATACTTTGTCCTTTTTTCTATTTAATATTACCTCAAAGGAACTGGTGGAGTTTTTGATCCAGAGAGCATTTAAGCAGTATTGACTAACTTTTGTTCTATTTGAAGCCTACGTTTTAATCAGCTGACAGTATGGTCATGTATAATCATTAAAATCTACATGTTCACATTAAGAAAAAAAGAAAGATGATAATAATTACTTGAAAAGTTGATACTTACAAAATTATATTCTAGGCCTAGGGATCAAATGGGCTAAAACAAAACAAAAAATAAAAAAAGGCTAATAAAATTTTGCTAAAAAGAAAAAGCTCTATTTCAAACTTTTGGTGGCTTTAGGTATATGAAGGCATTTGAAATGTTTAGCCTGTTGAAGGTTATCATTTACTTCTATGATGTAATCATTTCCTTTCATCACCCTTTTCCCACTTAGAGTAAGGGAAACACAGTCCAGCCAGTGGCATAAATTGCATGGCAATACAGACCTGTGCTGAAACCTAAAGCAGACCTTTGGCACCTCTCAGAGCTGAGAGTTTGAGGATGAGTTGTGAAACTGTGCTAGTCTTTTTCATTCCTGTGCTTTCTTTTCTCAGGTTTCCTGAAATGCAGTTTTTTCAACAAGAAAATGTGAGAAAGATTCTTACAGATGTTCTTTTCTGTTACGCCAGAGAAAATGAGCAGTTGCTTTATAAACAGGTAATGAAAATATCGTACAGGTGGCATCCATTGACTCAAAATTTTCTATACAGCTTGACAAATGATAGTGCAATAATGTAGCCTTTATTGTATCCAGAGTTGTATCATAATGGTAAAGCAATCAGAGACCTGCTTGTCTGCCTCATAGTGAGAAAAGTAAGCTCATTGAAGCACATATGCTTCTTCCTCATTATAAGACATTCCACCAAATTGTCTTCTGTAAGGCTGTTCAATCTTTTCTTTCAACTTTTGGGAGTTAGTTTATAAACAGCCTCTTTGAAGCCAATCTCGTAATAAAACTTTTTAGAGTTACAGGTATAAATATTGTTTCTAAGTACAGCATTTATAAATATGTGAAATGCCATGTAAAAAATAAAGTACTCCATTACTCTTTAAAGTTTGCCAGTAGTGGAACTTCGGAAGGTCCTTGGAAGTTCACAGAATTTTTGAAATTTGTATTTAGTTTCTTTGGGATCCTGTGATTTGACTGATCCCATTGCTAATGGAAAGCAGATTGTTGGATTGTGCATTTTCATTAAAATGTAAATTATTTACTTAATATATAAAGAAGTATCCAGGTTTTCTACTTAAGCTTATGATGTTTCAATAAAAATAGACATGGTTGGATATTGGAGAAATATCCATTGTATTTCTCCAAATGTATAAGTGGCACTTCAAACTGAATTCATAAATTGTCCAATTGATGACCACCTAACTTCACTTTAATATATATTAAAAAAAAAAAAACCTGTGTAGTGAGAACAACATATTTAATTTGAAATAAAATAGATCTGAAGATAGTAAACCAAGTCAGAGTACAATTATCCTAAACAATACATTTGTTATAATTGTATGTGTAGACTACCCAAGGGAACTGATTTTATCTTATTTTTATATTAGTAATATGTTTTATATTAATTACTTGCTGACAGTAACCTTTTAGAATTAGAAATGGAAAAAATGTATCCAGTTCATGATGGCAAACAAAACCGTAAAATGTCTAACAATAAATTTAACAAGAAGGGTACAATGAAGAAAACTGTAGGTTTTATTGAAGATAAAAAGGAAGAGTTGAATAAATAGAAAATAATACCATGTTCTTGTTGGGAAGACTAAATAAAAATGTTAATCCTTTCGAAGCTAGCGTATATTATCATTCCAATGAGAATGCAATGAGGTGTTTTTTTTTTCCTTTTGGATTTTCTCTTAAAAACAGCTTTTTTTTAAATAAATATTTTATTGTGTTTTAGGTGAAAGTTTATATAGCAAATTAGGTTCCCATTTAACAATTTTTATACAAATTGTTCTGTGGCATTGGTTACAGTTTTCACTGTGTCAGCATTTTCATTTTAAGGGGCGGATAACCCATTAAGCAAGGTGAGCACAGAGTTACTTGTGCTTACTTACTAATTTGTAGTGAACAATTTCACTACAGTGGATTTCATCACATCAAAGAATGACAAAGGGCAATATAAAACTTACTGTAAAGGTTCTATGACCGAAGCAATATGACAGTAGCATTGAAATGAACAAATAGATCTGTGGAACAGATTAAAAAGCAGGTCCAAGTATATGTATATGAAATGTTAAAGTGATAAAATAGGATGTTTTAATTCAATGGGAAAAGGATATTGATTTGGTATATTTGGCTATCCATCTTGAAAAAAAAGATTGTTATACCTTTATTTGAAATAAATTGCAGATGGTGTAATGATATCAATATAAAAATAAAAATATATAAATATGCTAAAAGAAAATTTAGGACAACTTTTGTTTAATCTCAAGGTAGGAAAGGCCTTCCCCAGCAAGAAAAAAAAAGCCATCGCCATCGAGTCCATCTCAACTGTAGAACTGCCCCATAGGGTTTCCAAGGAGAGCTGGTGGATTCGAACTCCCGACCTTTTGGTTAGCAGGCAAGCTCTTAATCACTACACCACCAGGGCAAGATAGGCTATATAAAGTCAAAAGACTCTCCCAACGGCAAAAAAAAAAAAAAGTATTCTCGGAAAAAACAAACAAAACAACCTCTATCAGTGTAGATTTCTTTAAGAAGCAAATAACAGGAGAACTGGTTTAAAATTACTTAAACTTTAAGGGTGTTATTAACACAAATAGAAGGAAGTCTGGGGGTAAAATGGTCTACAAAACCCACTGCATCTGAGTTGATTCCGACACACAGTGACCCCATAAGCTTTCCGAGGCTGTGATCTCTACGGAAGCAGATTGCCGCATCTTTCTCCGGCAGAGCCGCTGGTGGTTTTTACCACCAACCTTTTGGTTAGCAGTCAATTGATTTAACCACTGCGCCACCAGAGCTTAATGCATTAATTAACTCAGTAGCTTAGAATATTCATCAAGGATCCAGGTTTCTTTCTATTTTTCTGCTCTCCTCTCCTCATTGTGTTGGCTTTTGTCAAGCTTACCTCCTCTTTGTCTCCTCTCCTTTTTGAAATATCTGAAAATACCTTGCAGTAAAGGATTGGTTGGTAGTGAATCAGGTCAGAATAAAATTATTTCAAGTTATACAGTTGTTTTCCTATAGTGAAAGAAAAATCTGGATTAAAGAAATCTTAGAATAATGGAAACAAGTTTCATTGACAAGGAATAAAAATGGTAACTACAGAGCTCCACCATTTGTGATCTATGTGACCCATTGCATTTGTGTGGACAACTAGGCAGGAATATGGAAGATCAGATTCTTGATAATTTAAACAAGGTCTATCAATTATTTAATAAGAAAGTATTAGCTTTCTCCTGGACACCACTTAAAAAGACTTAATTACCCTGTGTACATGTTTAAATCCTAAGGATTCTTTACAGAGAAATAATACCTTGCTGTAAAAGAACTGAATATTTAGCTGGATCAAATTTAAGAAAAAAACCTTGAGTTTCATCACAAGCTGTTAAAGCTATTATTTTGTACTAGGTGACACCCCGTTTAACATCGACCATATTGTTAATAGTTATGGGATTTTATTGAATTAATGAGACTTTATCATGTAGTAGAATGTCTTGCTGAGTTAATTGAAACTGCAGAGATTATAAAAATGGTATTAATGAACTTTGACTGTCTGTTGCCTCAGCTTTAATAAAGACTGCTTGGTGGGCTAAATGAACACAGGCAGATAAAAGAACAGGTTCAATTTTGTGAGCCTACAGGCTCTTGATGAAGAAAACTTCGTTACCTTTATTTTCAGCTGGCATGAGTTTGGAGTGCAGTGACTACTAACTATCCAGCAGGGATAAAGGCTTTAAGCAAGCAGAAATGCTGACAGTGTAGATGGAAGTAAAATACATATTTGGAGAACCAAGAAGTATATTGACAGTACATTTTTTAATTATACTTTGTCAAATTCACAGCATACTGAATTTATGATCTTTCATTCTGAATACTTCTCTTTTCCTTTAAAGAGGACTATGTACTTGCCACTTGTAATTATTGGTTAGGTTTTACTAATTTAGAAATGAGAGTGGAACCAACAATCTCTTTCATGACTCTGGAAAAACAAAATCTAGTTTCAGTAGAAGTCAAAACTCAACTTGTCAAAGATTGTCTTAACTATCCATTCTGCAGTGTTCAGAGGACACTAATTTCCATTATATACAGAGTACCTTTACTTATTGATCTGAAAAACTGAAATAAGATTAAGTGTTTTTCTTTTTCCCCCTTTTTTTATATTATTATTTGATTTTTACCACTGTGTTGATATATTGAGCGGTAGATAATTTCATTCATTCAGTCAACATGTAGTGAGCACATTCTATGTGCTGAGCCTGTAGTAGGAGCTGGTTTTAAAACTAGATGAACTGCATTGCCCATGCCTTCAAGGAGCTTACGTTAATGTGGAAGAGCAATTGCGCTTGCTTGAGCTGTCTCGTTTCCTCTCTGTCTCTCGCTCACTTGCTCACTAGCTGTACACACACACATATACGTACACACATCACTTACTGCAGTTTACAGTTGGAAAGTAATTTTTGTACTTATTATTTATGTGTCTTTCTATCCAGACTGCAAGCTCCGTAAAGATTTGGAACTTGCCCATTTCATTCACCTTTGTGTCTCTTGTGCCCAGCACGTCATAGGCATTTAAGAAATAGTTTTTTGAATGAATGAATGATGTATGAACAAATGGAGAATCTGGAGAGGGTAGTGTTGCAGAAACTAGAGGAAAGAGAACATTGAAAGAAGGTGGGGAAAATGCAGTAGACACATAACCCTTCCTTATAAACCAGCCATAATTAGAAAATACATTGAGGAGGGAATGAGAAAGACCCATTCAAAAGATCCCAGCACTAACAAGAAAATCTAGTAACAAATCTAATAAGAACTATGCAGTCATACAGATTTTTAGATTAGAAAATTCACCGTTCTTTAAAAATACCAGTTCTTTTCAAGTTATATATTTTAATGCAATACCAGTAGAAATTATAGTGTCTTGCTTAGCATTGTATATAACTAAATGGTACTGAAGTTCACCTGGATGAAAAATGAGTAAGAATAGGCAAAATAATTTTGCCCAAAAAAGTAGAAAATATGGAATATTTGTACTACTAGAAATTAGAACATTTTAAAGCGTCGATCATTAGAATAGTACAGTTCTGGTTAAGAACATACAAATCAATGGTATAGCCATAAAAGCCCAGAAAAAGTACAAGCTGAATATCCAAATTATAGTAAAGAAGTTATTTTAGATCTCTTGGGAGTGAGAGATTATTCAGTAAATGGTGATTATTCAGTAAGTTAGTTTAACTCTTTTGGAGGAAAAAAGAAAAACATTTATTCCTCATGTCAAAATTTAAACTAATACCAGATAGGTGAAGATTTAACTGAAAAAAAAATTATATGCTTACCTAATCTCAGAGGAGGAAGGTCTTTTTAGATATGAAAGCAAAAAAGAAACCATGAAGATGATTTATTGATTTGACTATTTTCAGGTGTAGAATTTTAGTATGTTATAAGATATTACGGTCCCAATTAAAAGGCAAATTATAAATTTGGAAAACTATTTGTAACAAAAAAAAAGAAAACGTTAATATCCTTAATTGATGAAGGACTATTAGAAACCATTAGGAAAAAGAAAACACTTCATTAGGAGGAAATAGGCAAGTCATTAAATAAAAATGATCAATAAAACTTCCTAGTTTAGTTTCACTGGCATTTGAAGAAATTAAAACAATAATTTGTCATGAAATTTGAGAAGATTTTTAAAAACCACTATGCATATAGGTGAGGATATGGTGAGAAGGCAATTTTTATGCTCTATAGTGAGGGAATGCTTTCTGGAAGCCAGAAAAAGTACAAGCTGAATGAAGATTTGTAAAGTACACTCAGCAGTGCTTCAGAAAGGCTTGGTGATCTACTTCCAAAAATCAGCCAATGAAAAACCGTATGGATCACAACAGTCCACCCCATTGTGCGTGGGGTAGCCACGGGTCAGGGGATGACTCAGTGACAGCCAGCAGCAGCGACGATGCAATCAATGCTGAACTCCGTTTTCTCTGGGTTTCTGTGTTGTTCTTCTAAGGGACATTCTTTACAAGGTTTCACTAGTGAGGAGATGGTTACCTAAAAAAGATGGAGCGGTGTGTGATAGTTTGTCCTAAGTCACACTAAATTATCAGTGTATCATCAATTATTTTGTAAAAATATCTTTAAGTTCTTCTCATTCAAGGTTAGTGAAAACTTGTAAATGAAGTCTGTTAGAGTTTACTTTTGTATTTATCTTTGTGATAACAACTGTATTCCTAAGAACAGCACAGGGCTGTAGCAGAGGGCTGTGTAGCTCTTTCCTCCATTTCCTGCTCCCAAGAAGCCTCCTGTAAGTCTATCAGAAAAAATTTCCCTCTTCTCTGCTACCGTATTTTATTTTTATTTCTTCTAAAAGTGATATTTTGTCTTGTCATTTTATAAAAATCATCCTTAGTTATTAAGCAAAAGTAAAATGAAAATTTACTCACTTTAAAGGCAGAATTGAGTATAATCTGTTTTTAAATTGTTAAAACATGTCTTTTGATGCATAAGGAAAAAGAATCTTAATTAACTTGATACGTCACTAATGTGTAATAACAGTTCTACACAGTGATGGGTAAATATTGGATTTTTTACAATACCCTTTTAGAGATAGCTTAGTAACTAATATTATAGCTTTTGTTTCTGTGTCTATTCATGTAATCCACAGGTGAACCCCAATATAAGGAAAAAGAAAACTATATTGGTGAAATTACTAAATAAATTAAAAATTAACCTAGATGAAGTAGACAGGAAAACAAATTAATGATAGTCGTCTGATTAAACATATTGAAAATCATATTTTTAAAACTTTATTATCTGTCATACCTGCTAAAGATTGTTCCCTTTATTAGCTAACGTTTCTAGCTAGCTGACTTCAGCTCTTCCTAAATCTACAGACATCCTAATTTTGAACCATTATATAATGAAAACATCGGGTGTAATTTCCTTCGGTCTGCAGTTCTTAGTTGCCCTTCTTACTGCAGATCTTTACACTGTAGCTCATGATTATAATTTGCATAAATGAAATTCATATTTATGAGTACAGATCTTGAAGCAACTGACAGGTGCAAGGTTGTCTACCATGCCAATTTATTGTTTGTTGTGTTATTTAAAAGAGAACTGCTCTCCATGTTTTAAAGAAGAATAAGTGCTGTGGTTGAATTGGAATCAAATTCTAAAAGTAGATAAAATCTTGTTTTGTAGCTTTCCATTTTTATGCTTTTCTAAATAACGTGGTAATGTTGCGGTTGGCTATACGTTGAAGAAATGTCTAACTGAGCTTATAATATCTGCTAATGGACTCTCAAAATCATCCTCATTTCTCTTGCTCTTATGTTTCAGGGCATGCATGAGCTGTTAGCACCTATAGTCTTTATTCTCCACTGTGACCACCAAGCTTTTCTACATGCTAGTGAATCCGCACAGCCCAGGCAAGTTTTTATACAAGCTCCATGTGTTCATTCAGCCCTGCTGTAATCTTTTTTTACCTCCAAATCTTTTAAATTGAAGGTACTTACTAACTTTTTGCAAGTTGTAAATGTGGTTGTGTTTCATGTGGCTAATTAGAAGGGTCCATTGTAAGTTCCACTTAATAGTTCTAATCCCACTTCCCCTGTGGAGCAAATTTGGAATCGTCAGTATTGCTGAGAACCTTTGATCTGTACGAGAAAAAGGCATATAACTAGTGAGTCTAAGGAGAGATTTTTGTTATAATGGCAAAGGTGCTAATGATTGATAATGTTTATATATACTGTCCTCCAGTGGCCCGTTCTTTCACTACAAGCTGCATGTAAATCTTATGAGATACTGCTCACCAGGTTTGTCTCAGCTCAGTTCCTAAATAAGGGAATGGTGCCACAAAGAACCCCATTCTGTAAATAAACAAAAACGCCTTCTTGTGTTTTTAAGATACATATTTATTATTAGTTCAGCAGTTAAGTTTAGTAATTGCATTTGTCTTAGACTAATCGTTAGACTTCATGTACTAATTTAAGATACCCTAACTGACCGGCCAGAGAAGCAACCAAGAAGCTTTTTGGGGATGGAGAGCTCTAGGATTGTCAGACTTTGTCATGAATAATCCACAGGCTAATGTGTCTATATGTAGGGGAAAAAAAAAACCTAACATAACATTTCACGTGATACCATCTTTATTAACCAAATTTGCTTTTGTCTACTGTTACAAATTTGTGTTTTGAAGTGTCCCTTGAGCTTTTGTAATTTTACTGATTGGATCTTGACAGTAGTAACCATATCTTAATTGCCTTTGCTTCAGTTACTTCTAAAGTATAATGATGTAAGAATGAAGTTAGTATTAGAATCTTTTTCTTGTGCCAGTTTTATCTTTAAGAAATGTGTATGCAGTGTACGTACTTGACATGAAAGTAGGAATGATTGAAAATAGCTTTTGAATGAGTTAGACATACTTCTTCAGCTGTTTCAATTTGTAAAAAGTAAAAGCAACACCATAAAATAGATTTTTAAGAGGTGCTACCACTGATTAATTGCTGTTAAAATATAATAAAAATAGAAGCTGTTAAGAAGAAATAAGTTAATATTTTGATATTGCATAGTTGACCAGTAACTATAATTTTTTTGTTGTTTTGTTTCAGACTTGCACAAGTGATAGATTGTGGAGTAATCAATTATTGTAGACCAAGCATATTTAAGGACTATGTTACAACATTCTGTATTTGTTATTTGGAATAATTAGTTATTTCATTGTGGAATAGACTTTGTTTTTGATCTTTATAGAAAGAAAGGATTTTATTTGTTAATGGAGTTACTCTTTTTATTAAAAAAAGCTAATTTTTTTTCATTTGCACATTATATGAAAGTTGGCTTATGAATGTAGAATAAGACACCCTCTGCATTCCTTCCAATTAAAAAAGTACAAATTTTGATTGCTTGTATTGCTTTTTTAAGTGATGAAATGAAAACTCTCTTGAACCCTGAGTATCTGGAACATGATGCCTAGTAAGTACAAAGACTTTTTGTTTTGTTTTTTTCTTTTGTACTGTGCTTACTTTAATGAAGGTTTAACATTAGCATTATATTATTTTCCTAATTTTTAGTGCAATGTTCTCACAGCTTATGGAAACTGCTGAACCTTGGTTTTCCACTTTTGAGCATGATGGTCAAAAGGTAAGTCTTAAAGAGAACATACCTTTTAAAATATTTGAGGAAACAAATTATTTCAGTAAGTAATAACAAATAATCAGTATAAAAACCACTGTTATTACTATTAGCAAAAAATGAAAATCTAAAAATACTATGGAGTAAGATTGAACTGGACCTGTAAACCATTTCTCTTAATAATTTTCGAAGGTATACAATGACAATATGAAAGATTTTATTTAAATAAATTAGGAACTTTCCTTTAAAATGTATGTGTGTATTATCCATGAAGTCTTTAACTTCATACTTATAAGATTGTTATAAACTTTGATAAATAAGTGCATCTACCTATTTGATTCATCGCTGTGCTGGTGCATTGAGAGACATTGTTACTGAAGTGCATAGATAAACTTTATGTTCGAAAAGTAATGCATCACTATTGAATTCACACATTTGGCATCAACACTCCTTACCATTATTTTCTTTTATTCATATTTTAGCTATATTATTATAGTGATAGAACTCGTATACCATAAAATTCACCCATTTAAAGTGGACAATTCACTGGTTTTTAGTATATTCACAAGACTGTGCAATCATCACTAATTCCCAAACATTTTCATCACCCCAGAAAGAAAACAAACAAACCCACACTCCATTCTCCCCTCCTCATAGCCCCCGGCAACACTAAGCCACTTTCTGTATCTGTGGATTTGTTTATTCTGGACATTTCATATAGATAGAAGCATACAATACGTGGTCTTTTGTGACTGGCTTCTGTCATTTAGCATAATGGTTTTCAGGGTTCATTTATGTTGTAGTATGTATCAGTACTTAATTCCTTTTTATGGCTAAATATTTTCCACTGTATGGATATACCACGTTTTGTCTATCCGCTCATCAGTTGACAGACATTTGGGCTATTATGATTACTGCTTCTGTGTATACTCATGTACAAGTTTTTATGTGAACATACATTTTCAGTTTTCCGGTATATTTCTAAGGAGTGGAATTGCTAGATTATACTTTTTAACAAACATACATGCTAACTTAGAAGTCATTGTCTTTTCATTGTAATTTGAAAAATTGCAGATTCTTCTAACGAGGCTTATTATTAAAAGTATTTGGTATATTATGTCCAATATGGTTAATTTCCTTTATATTGGTATAATTAAGTCCATTCTGGTTAGAAATCCACCTATTACTATCACTTTGTTCCATCTCTTAAAGAACGGAATAGGCAACAAATGCTATTCATGCCTGTGACCTAGCTCAGGGGTTGGCAAACTATTGCTTGCAGGCCAAATGCGGCCTGCTATCTGTTTTTGTGCAGCTTTCACAGTGGTTTTTATGGTTTTAAATGGTTGAAGAAAAAAACAAAGAATATTTTATGACATGTGAAAATTATATGAAATTCAAATTTCCGTGTACGTAAATAAAGTTTTATTAGAACACATGCCTAAAAAATTTCCTCTCTGGTTCTTTACAGAGAAAGTTTGTCCAGCCTGTAGCTTCAGTGATAAAATTGTCCTTCAGCAATATAGCAACACGTTACATATCCAACATGTAAGGTTGTTGAATGTTAAACCTGCTTTATACATAAGTAACAAACTACATTATGTTTTGAAACAATGTCTTTATGTTCTCGGCAAGTGATTTGATGAAGTCATAGACTTAGTGTGTGAACATAAAAATTTTGAGCAGAGAGTATTGGAACACATTAAATGCAAGCACAATGATCATTCCATGCCGTAGTCATTTTATATTTTATGACTGGTTCACAGTATCTGAGAAACTGAATGATTAAAATGTAAGGGTTACCATTTTTCAGTTTTGCCTGTTCGCTGCTGTTGATGTTACTGAGTCAAGATTATGAAAGTGGCTAAGACAACACAAAGAAAGACTTTCAGTTTATTAAGGAACACATAGATGTGACTTCTTAACATTGATGTTAATTACTTGTGTATATCAATGAATAATATATTCCTAGAAGCATCTCTAGTGAATTCCTTTTCATCTTCCCCTTTTTATTCTATTTTATAATTCTGTTACCTTTTTTAAAAGTTCTAGAAATTTATATCTTCCCCGTTAATTTCTTCTAATTTCTTTGAATGTCAAGTACATCACTGTGCATGCTGCTTAGTTCAGCAGACAGTCTTTTCATAATAAGACTTTCTTGATAAAGGAAGCAGTATGTTGGTTTCTATTCTGGCACAAACTCATTATCTCATTGTGTTCCTATAACAAACAGTATGTGGACTGGCACTGATCTGCAGACCACACTTTGAGTAGCACATTAAAGAAACAGTTAAAAAAAAAATTGTAGTTTTACTAATAGTTGTAGCTTTCCCATTTGATCATATGTGATAAATGCAAATAGCATTCTTTATTATGATAAGAAGTCCTGGAGATAAGGGAATATTTTATATTAACTTTATCTTCTCATGTGATTTTGTTAGATAAGCTAAGCTGTTTAACAGCATTTAAGTGATCATGAGCATTACTTTGGAGTTTCTTAGACTTAAGAGATTTTATTATAAGTATTCTGAGCACAGGGGAACTCTTGAAAGTACAGTTTATACAAGCCTGTAGTTTTTAGTAGACTATCTCAGCTGCTAACCCAAAGGTTGGCGGTTCGAACCCACCAGCTACTCTGTGGGAGAAAGATGTGGCAGTTTGCTTCAGTAAAGATTACAGCCTTGGAAACCCTATGCGGCAGTTCTACCCCCATCCTATACGGTCACTGATCGGAATCAACTCTACGGCAATGAGTTTGGTTTTTTTGTTTTTTATATATGAGTTCGTATCAAGTATATGAAAAATGGGCTGTATATGCTGTTGATTTAATGACAGCTCTGTTCAGACTAGAAATTGATCATATGATTTCATTAAGTGAAATATTTTTAACAGATTATTTTAGGATTTTCTCCAAAGCCTGCAATAGTATTTATATAATAGTATGTCTATTCAAGACACTGTATATAGGGTCTTGATACAGATGGATAGAGTGATCTGTGTTCCACGAGATTGGTTGAAACAGTCCCTGAGCACAGTGCCTCCACCCCATTCTGGCTAGTACTCAGCCACACAAGATCCTCCATTAGAGAAAAACTGCATGACTAAAATGTATAAAATGTTAAATTGATCATTTTTTATGGAAATTTGTCTGTAGAGTAAACCCTGTTTTTCAAATATGAATGGTATCTTACAATTAACATGAGTTCTCCAGAACATATATTTCAAATTAATATCAATAGGAAAAAAATTTTAATAGTGGTTAATTTTTTTTTAATTAGAAGAGAATACTAGATATTACAAAATTTAAAAAAAAGTGTCTCAAATGTATTATTTTTATAGTAAGTGACAACGATATAGAGACTTCATTTTGCTTATCTATATAAATTATCACAAAATAATTGAGCCATAAAAATTAACATGGCCTTATATCCTTGCACCCAAAAGACACTAGGGCAGACACTACAGGAATGATAAGAGAATACATTTCCTTGTAAGGCTTGAAGTGGTCCTGGAAGGACAGGAGGTTTTCCCTTACGCTAATACATGCTTCTTCTCTCTTCTGTGCCTTCCACCAGCCTGATTAGCTGATGCTCTTACACGGAATTCTAGGTTTCTTTATTTGTGTAGTCTTCCCCTCCAGACTAAGGAAAGGAATTTTTCTTTATCTTTCTGTCCCAGAATCTGGTCCAGCGATGAAAAGATGATGTTCCTTTTAGATATCTCACCAGTTTAGGAGGAGAGAGAAGCAGTAAAGGATGCTGGAGTGTCAGAGAAGAAAAAGAAACAGGGCTAAGGAAGGCTTTCTGGAGGGCTCGACAGTTGAGCTGAATCTAAATATACTTGAGAGCTCCTCAGTGGAGACACCAGGGAAAGTAGATTTCAAGTAAAAGAATGGCATCCCAGGGCCTCTAGAAGCCCGTGAGAATAGAGACTGGCCAGATATTGAAAAGGCCTTGTAGATCTGGCTAAGGAAATTTGGATTTTTTTTTTCCCAAGTGAAAACAATGCAGAATTACTGGAGAGGTTTAAACAGGGCAATTTGGCATACTCTAATTTGTGTTTTAGATAGATCACCCAGTGTTTTAGAAGACGGATTTAAAAGCAACAAAAACAGATAGAAGGAAGGAAATTATTAGAGCCTCAAATTGAGCAGTGACAGTAGGGCCGTAGAAGATACAAGAGGTACCGAGGAGCTAACGTGGGCAGAGTAGGCGTTCTTACTGGAGAATGGGGTAAGATGGACGTGATGAAAGAAGAACAGAAAATGATAAGCTTGGTTTTAGGCCTACTGAATTTGAGACCCTTCTGGCAGTGAAAGATTCCTTGTGAGGTTTTGAACTTATAGGAGGCAATCAAGAGAGTACTAGGCTATGAATACAGATTAGGAAGTCTTTGGGAAAATGGATATTGGTTGAAGCAGTGTGTATGACTGATATCACTCGAGGAAGGTATAAAAGTAGAGAATAAAACTAAGACCAGACTATATGAAAAAACAGCATTGAGAAACAAAAAGATGAATTTAAGCTAGAGAAGTAGACTCAGAATGAGTGGTAGTCAGAAAATATGAGACGGTGATGCTACAAATGGTGACTGCAGAAAGGTGGAAATTGTGGACTGAAGGTCAGAAGAAAGGTCAGGCATTGGGGAATTCATCAGACTTGAGGGGTATCATTGGAGTTCACAGAAAAGAAAGCATTGCAAGCAGTTAGAGACACATCTCTCGTAATAATGAGATTATGGGTGGCAGGAAGTAAAGTTGTAAGTTGGCCCAACATAGATTTTTTTTTTTTAAAGTCATCTATACTTTTGATCTTGGAGAGTTTTAAAATCTTTTTACTTAGCTATTTAAATCGACCAGAGGGCATTCAGAGAACGTCTTCTTTCTAGAGCTAGTTTCCTTTATTTCCTGTTTCTGAGTGCTAGCTCCTCAACTCAGAGTAACACAGTTTTCATTTACTGTTTTCATGTTTAAGTTTTATACCCAAGAAATACGTTTCCATTAAGGCTTGTCATTTATGTACTGTGTCTGGTTAGATAAACTAGCCATGGACAAATGGACTACAGTGGCCACCACTACCTCTAGCCAAGATTGTCTTGTAACACTTAATGCCATTAAGAGAAACTGGTTAAGGAATACAGGTAGAAAAACGTTTTAGAAGGCATATCCTGGCCATTGCCATATGAGCACAGTTACTTGTATGATGATCAGCATATGATTCCATATTTTAAGCATTTGTCGTGAGAGGTTTGATGTAGTTCGTGGTTCCTGCTTAAACTTCCTTTGTAGATAAATTCAATAATGATGTCCGTATTTTTTAATTTCATATTGAAATAATATATGTTCAATTTTTCCTGTCTTTATGTTTTTAGGGGAAAGAAGCACTGATGACTCCCATCCCCTTTGCTAGGCCACAGGATTTAGGGCCAACAATTGCTATTGTTACTAAAGTCAACCAGATCCAGGATAATCTACTGAAGAAGCATGATATTGAGCTTTATATGCACTTGAACAGACTAGAAATTGCACCACAGATATATGGGTTGTAAGTATTAAAGTTTAAATTTCAACTACACCTAATTATGATTTATGGTGGTTTCTAGAAGTTAAGAGCAAGAACTGTCCCAGCTCCATTTTATGTTACATCTCTTTTGTGTCTTTTGTGCTAGGCTCTGTACTCATTACTTTCACATGTGGTGTCTCATATTCCCACTAGCCTCATTAATTGGGTATTATCCCTTTGGTACAGATGAAGAAGCTAAGGCTTAGACTAAGTAGAAACTAAGGCTTAGGTTAAGTTTGCACATATTAAATTCATAATTCAGACCCAAGCAGGATTGGCTACATATTTGCAGGACCCAATGCAAAATGAAAATTATGGGACGCTTGTTTAGAAATTAGTAAGAATTTCAAGACAACAGCAGATCATTAAACCAAACATGGGGCCCTTCCAAATACCAAGCTATGTGCACGTGCACAGGTCGTACATCCATGAAGCCAGCCCAGAACCCAAGTAATCCTGTAAGATGTCCATGTTCTTCATCTTCCATTCTACCCTCAAAAGTGGATTTCTATCAATAAGATAATGTCCCTCCCCAGGGAATATATTGTCTTAATCTTTTCAGCCATGTAAATTCTCTAATGTGCTATAGCAGAAAAATAGGAAGCCAGTCATTCCTTAGATGTTCTGAGCTGGAGAACACAGAGGGTAGGGACTGCAGCCAGAGCAGCTCCTACAATACACAGTAGCAGGGGGATGAGCTGAGGTGGGGCAGGGAGAAATTCATGGAAAAGTGAGGAAATAGCACTGACAATTTATATGTATCAGTGGTTTATAAATGTGTACAGACAAATTAGAAATACAGAGGTTTTAGTAAATATAAATTAGCTGTGTAGTGCTGTAGACAACAGAAGTATCCTTTATGTTGAAATAGTAGAGCATTCATATCTAGTGCTGAGCAGTTCCTTGGTAGAAGTTTTCTGCAAATGCTGACTGTCAATTGGGTAGAATTCGGAAAATTGGTGAGTTATTATTGAGATGTACATAGTAGGTGTTGAATAAACATGAACTCATTATTTGAATTGTAAAAAATTTCAAATGAGTCTAAAGTTTAGGACCAGAGCAAGGCTGTTTATTTAGCCCAGAGAAGAGAATACCAATGAGTGTTTTATTTATGTTTTCATGTTATACACAGTCTTTTATTAATAATACTTCTCAGCTGTTTTTCTTCTCTGAACAGTGATTGAATAAGTGTTTACCTGTTGTAACGCTGATTGCTTTCATTTCTGTGACTTAAGCTTGACCTCATCATTGAGAGTAGCTCCATAGTTCCTACTGGAAATGAGAATGTGTGTGACATGGGTACGGGGCAGCGCTGTAGGTTATTAATGAATTGCTCTTTACACTTGTAAGTATAGATAATACATTTGTGATTATAGGGATAAAGATTTATTTTAAAATAGCTAATGCAAGGTCAGGAGTTAAATTGTATATTCCTCTGGGCTGTGCACTCAAAGAATTGGTATATTCAAATACAAAAGCCCATTTTATACCCTCCAAAAATTTTCACTAAGGTCTAGAAATTGTTCTTAAACACTGAAGGAAAGAAATTGATGTTTGGCATGTGTATTTTTTCTTTGAAATGCTCAATAATTTTTTACCTCTTTGCCTGAGCTGTTGCTTTGCGTTGCAGTGATGATGGCATTTGCTTCAGTACAGTCATGTAAAGATGATGTAGCCCAGTTTCCGTTTCTAACATTAGTTTCCATCAGTTTCCTCTTCATCATAAGTCATAGGGCTGCTTGACATCTGACCGGCACCTTCCTGATAAAATTCCGTGAACCATGACATAACTACTCTTAATCGTTCCAATTTTATTTATTAGTAATAACTAACAATACTGGGGCTAGCCATAGTCCTAGCTGCCTTATCTGTCCCATTATTTTTGTATAGAATCTCATCTGCATTGTCTCAAAAAAACTTTTTTTTTCAATCTTTGAACAAGAGGTCATTCATTCTTTCAATTTGGACCTCATTATATTTTATAGTGCAAGGGTTTTAATTACCCATTTCCCTTATTCATTTGGTTTTATTATTATGTGTGGTGCACATGAAAGGCCAGTGCCTTTGATTTTGCCTGTGTCCCTGTATGCTAGCCTAAGTTGTACGGCCGTCTGCTTATTCCCTACTGATGACTGGTAGAAAATTTGCTGCCAAAGAATACTATAATATAAAATAGTAGTTAGAAGTACAGGCTTTGAAATGAAACAGACCTGTTGGACCACTTTGAGCCTTGGTTTCTTCATCTGTGAAATGGAGATTAAAAATAATAAATTGCACCTACTTCATTAGGTGCTTTTGAGAATTAAATCGTAATATACAGAAAACATTGTGCTCAGTATGTAGTAAGCATTCAATGTATGTTTAGCAGTGCTTTTATTATTATCATCTGTCATTACAGTTGCTAAATTAGGATTTTCACGGCTGTTTGAATATGATGTGCCATGAGAATCACTAACCCTTCCAACTCTGGCTTTGGCTTTCTGTGTTTTCTTCATGAAAGCATGTGGGCTTCTACTTAACTGGACACATATAATAGCTGCCCTTTAGACCAGTGTTTCTAAAGAAGTAAGTATAGCAGTTGAGAGTAAACTTTTAGACACTTCCGTAGCAATTTGGCCCAATAATTTATGTCACTGAGCCTAATAAATAACGTAGGTGTGTGTCTCATAGAAATGAATTTGAAAGGTTTTCATTTGTTCTATACCATACAAGTATTATGAATCTAAATAATTGTTGATGGTACTGCCTATTCCTTTTGGAAGAAAGTTGTTAATTTAGTTTTATGATCAAAAATAATACTTGAAAACAATTAGTTTGTGGTTTGGGTAAATTTGTCATCAAGTGGACAAATATAAAATAATCAGTTGTCAGTTAATGACAGCTTTTCCTTAGGGTTCTGATCAGATTCCATGTTGTATTACCTAATGTGTGCTTTTTTGTGACAAGTGTTTTACAGAATTCTGATTTTCAAAAAAAAAAAAAAAAATTTTCTCGTAAACTAAAATGTTCCAGTAGAATTAGAAAAACAAATGTCAGTAATGAGTGAGCCAATGGCAAAATGTTATTAATGCCAACAATTTCTATAGAATGAGGGGTAAATCATAAATATATGTTTACATGGGGGGAGAGAGTGTTAGCAAGACTAAATTATACCACCTAGTGAGTCCAGATTTCTAATTTTAGTCAATCTTCAGCAGTTGCATGATACATTAAAAATTATTTAAATCTGCTTTCTATCATGGCTATAATTATCATTAAGAAAAAGATTTAGCAATTGCTCGTTTTTTTTTTTTTAAACTTAACTAGTGATCTTTGCTCTAGAGCATGCTTACTCAATTTTTAAAACTAGTTTTTTTTCAAGTTTTTGTAAGAATTTATGTGGATGTCTTCTGAAGTAGAAGACGTGTCATGTGTAGACATTTCTTGTATTTTCCTAATTTATTTAACAAAATCACAATTAATGGTTGCAGTAACTTTGGCTAAAGTCATTCCAAGTTAGCTTATGTTAATTTTCGATGAATTTATATTTATTTTGAAATATGGGAATGAGTACCCATAAATCCTAAATGTTATATAATAGCTTGCTTATTAATGCTATCAGTTTATATATTTAGATGCATTATCTCTTGGATAATTTTAGTTTGTTTTTCTGTTAGGAAATGTTAAATCAACTTACTGTTTCAGGTTCAACAAAGATAATTTGCGATTAAATGTTCAGTACTGCATAAGTGATATTATAAAATAATATATCCTGAAAGTAATTTTCACAGTTTTTTCATTATCTTTATGAAAGTTTACTACTGTTGCACTTAGAATGAAGTTTCTCTTCCTTTAATTTAAATAACTTACATCTTGAGTTGTCTTTGTCAATTATTGACGTGTGTTGGATTTTTTTTTTTTATTAAGTTCTTTGAGGGTCTGTCAGTGCACACTAATTCCCAAAGTAAAACATTTGACTACATTCAAACTTCTAAAGGTATTTCTTAATGTTTGTGGGATCTTCATCTTTAGTATGAGAAGAATGCCCTGTGATTTCATCACTTGGGATTGTGTTTGTGCAAAAACATCAAAATATTAGTGTTATGATTCCATCCCTTGAGCACAGATGTTGATGTGATTCCAGAAGACTCTTAATCATAGTAGATTCAAATATAAAGATTCAAGTCATCAACTGCTTTCGCTTTTTACTACAATACTCTTTTGCAGAGAGATCAAATATTAGAGTTTAAAATTAACAATTTCTGTTAAGCCAGAGTAACTTTTGTATTATCACCTTTAAATATATTGAATCTATGTTTTAGACCTTGTTTTACACTTTGATAGAAATAGAATACATAATAAGCATCTGTGGGATGTGCAATTAATGTCACTGTTGAGGAAAGATCCTCACAACACACTTGGGCTTTGGCACTCTTAAATTATGCGCTCTTTACAGCACTCATGGGATAAATTCCATGTCCCCCAGATGCTTATTATACATCTTCTATGTCCCTTATTTCCTGTTTTCTGGATTAGCAGTTGTTTTGCTGTGGTGCTTTATAGTAATTTAATTGGGGGAAATTCTTAGTTATTGATAAATAATTTGCTAAATTTTGTGATAGAATTTTAAAATGTTTATATCACATTATATTGGTTTTAACACATATCACAATGCAATTACATAGGACTACTAAATTTTTTTAAACCTATGTTTGAAATATAAACATATGGTAAAAAATGTAACTCTTAGTCCTCAAAAGTCAGTATAATTATCTACCTTACAATTGTATCTCTTAACAGTTTAAGTAATTAGCTTCCTGTTATAAGCACAGTTAATGATTGAGATATTCTTTTCCTCTCCATGAGCTTTATATGATACATTAAACATAAAGCATAGAATATGAGGGATTAGCTTGTTTTTATACTGCAGTGTGTATTCCTCTAGAATTACTCCTTTTGAAAAAGTTGGGGATTTTCCCTTCTACATGAAAAATTATCACAGA